AGGACATTGAGAGGAAGAGGGACAATGTGACAGGTGACAGACCCCGGAGAAGAGGACAAGGGACGCCATGTTAGTCTTTGTTGATATACAAGTTTACACGACACGGATTTCATTCTTTGTCACATCATCTCTCATTGGGGGACAAGTGTAACTATGTTTGTCAATAATGATGTAGGAGTTTGTCCCCGCTGGAATAACGATCTCAAGTGCGTTCCTTGTGGCTTCATCCACTTTCTACAAACGACCACAATGTCGACCACCGCTCCTCTGTTCCTGAAGTAGCATGGCCCGGGTGATTTGTTGGCAGGCATTGAAAAAGATATAAGAAGGGTTTAGATAAGTGCAGATTTAATCTCAGGATTAGAGTTTGATCTGAATAATTATTTTGACAAGATGGCATCGGTGCAGTGTCTAGGTAGGTTCATAATGAGAATGGACTTGACAGCAGTGAAAATATATTTAAAAAACAGAATGAAAAAAAGGAAAGAAAAGAAACAAGAAAAAGACACCAGAAAGCTGGCAAATGAATTGTTGATGACAATGAAAATAATAAATGAACGAAAAATATAGAAAAAAACTTAGAGTTGATAAATGAAGTAAAAGTGAATCAAATGTGTTGACTGTCGTCATTAAATTTGACATTGTTAGTCTTGCAACAGAAAGTAATAACGAACCCCCAGTTTTATCACACACAATCACGCGAGCGCACACATGCACACACACACACACACACACACACACACATGCACACACACTCACGAACACATAGACACACGAACACATGCACATAATTCATCTCGCTGAATACAATCAGTTTAACAAACTACCAGTAGTTAACACGTCCTTCCTTGTTACCAACGTAGTCGTAGAATCACCAGCTTTTCTGAATTGCTCTCAATGTCAGGAGGAGGCATATTACTCGGTTAAACTGATTGCAATCAGCCAGAGTCCCTGCGGAGTTGGATCGATCTATGTAGATCGATCATTTCAATGGGAATAGGCCCTAAGTTGATATTATGCTATAGCTATGTTTCCGCTGACCTGCAAAAACCTGGTGTGCTCGTTATTTGCTCGGTCAGCGAATCTCAGCTTTGCAATGCCCTCGGCCAAAACCCATTACATATCAGCTCCATACTAATATTGCAGTGTGTAGAACTAGAGTTTTGAATTACTTTCCTTTATTTGCTCAAATAAATAAAAGATTAAATATCAGACAAATCCTGCCTGGAGAAGAAATATTATCGTATCTGGGACGGAAAAACATGCCGTGTGCTCGAAAAAGTCCATTAAATCGTATTATCCGATTGTCAAACAAGTAATTATGTTGACATATTCAAAAAAGGAATCGCAAGATGGTCGAAAGAGTCGCAAATATCAATTACGCGAAAATATGATTTTAAGAAATAATAGAAAGAGGCATAACAGTCTTGTTTTGGAGGAATAGTTGTACAGGGAGGCAAACATCGACCACATATTGCAGAAGGTGTCAACAAAATGTAGGGGTCGGACCACAAAGCACATGCGGGTCTCAAACTATTTCCGCCCTTTTTTACTTCATAGAGGAAATTAAAGTCGTGGGGATTTTAAATAGCATTTCCACTGAAAGTGTTCGTAATGATAAGGAAAAGAAACAGTCCGCTTAAAGTTAGATGTAAAAAAGATACAAAAACAGAAGCAAAATGAGAATAAAACAAGATATGATTCAAACATGAAATGAACTTAGTTTATCTATCTTATTAAAAAATACGTGAATATTGGACACGGATATTTTCAACACTGGAAACAGTTCACTTTAAAAATTAGGAAGGATAGTATTGGTTGTCTAGTATGCATGAAATCATAATCACAAACTAACTTATTAACTAATTAACAAACTAACAAACTCATTATATAAATGTTTCCTCAGACTTCTTTTTGTTTCAGAAAAAATTGTTGATTGTGGCAAAATATAAAATAATCGTAAAAAGTTTATATTTTTTTTAAGGTCTAGTTATCACGCCCTGAATATATATTTATTTTCAACTAAAACAGACTCTCAGTAAATACTGCTTAAACTTCAGAGGTGCATGATTGCAACTCAGTAGTATCATATATAACATTAAAAAAGTGTGAAAATGCAATGTTACTACTTCTCAGATCGCCTAGAGTGGCGGGGTCTTCTAAGTCGATCGTTTTAATCGTTGCGTATGACCCATGTTTGCGGTGATAATTAATATCAAATACTTTTACTCAATGTTTATCTAAATATAACAAAGTCCACGGACAAAGTGTTTGACTGACCACGCTAAGCTGACGCAGTCCAATGACCCGAGACCGAAGAGAAAGCGTTCCAATACAAATGATAGAGACATTGATAACAAATGGTATAACCCTGTTTTAAATTGTCACTGTGATCTTTTGTGATAGATTGCGACTGTTCAAATAAATGTATTACGTCTAATTGGAGTGAAAAGGCCACCTAAATATTTCTGGAAGGCATTACAAAGGATGTCGCCTGCTTGGAGAAGTTCAACGCTGTCATGACAGGACACTGTATACGACGAGATTGGTTATTTCTATGTAACAATTGCAGAATTTGAAGTAAGATCTTCCCCGACTCTAGATTACCTTCACAAGTGCCACTCAAACAAACCCGACCTTTGGAATCTGAGTTTTATTTGACTCAAATAAACGTAATCCTACCTTTGTTCAGTATATTCAGTCAGTGAGTTCCGATATCAAAACTAACAGCAAATAACCCTCGGGGCAAAACTTTATTCAATCTCACATAATAAATCGCGAGTTTTAGCTTACAGGGATTTTCCGTCTTTCTAAAAGATACAATAATATTCTGTTCTAACAACTAAACATTGACTTGGGTTCAAACTTGGGGGTTGTTGGCTGGCACGTGAGCGTGTTTTACAGCTGGTGCGCGCGCGTATGCATAATAGCACGCCTGTGCGTATTTGTTTGTTTACAGGCTTGCGTCTTAGGGTGGGGCAAATGAAGAGATAGAGAGGGTGCTGAAACAGCCAGGGCGGTGTTGTCCAATTCTTGTTCGTCACGGTCCCAGTGCCATGAACAGATTATGTTTTAATATAAGCCTTGAAGCCACTGCACTGGAATATATATTTTTTCTACAGAGGTGCCGCGACGCGGACATTTTATATTGTAGCCTCGCTGCAATGAGCAAATGTCAAAAGGCATACAAGTACACTTTATCTATAATAAATGCGGTATAGGAATAGGGAAATTACTTTTTTTTTCATTTCATTGATGATATTGGCTGGTATGGGGGAAATGGGACCGAAGATACGGAAGGCACGCGACCAACTATGCCCCCCCAAAAAAAAAAAGTCATTGTGGGTGGGCTTTTCTAAAGGTTGCTCCTCTTTGGGACTATCTCAGATATCACAAGCACAACACAGTACGTACTCAGTGGGATCATGGCTTGATCCTCAAATTACACGGCGAAAGACGATCGCTCCGTCACGGTATCAGGACGGCATTACACGTGCTTCTTTTATGGTATAAAGAGTCTTTAAGTGAACGCTTCAACAAGCAGAAAGTTCATCGGCTTGGAGGTTTACTGGTCCGGAAATGATGAAAAGAAGATGGCTGGTGATTTTTTTCCTAAATATTCGATATCGCTTCTCTAACTTAGACCGAAAATTACTTTGACAGCAACGCTGTTTGAAAGGCATATCTTGATAAGAACAGCCATGAGACCTTTGGACAACCAAACTTCAGACTCTATGAGCTGCCGGACTGTCAGAATGACACGTGTAGTTGTCTACAATATCAATACATCATAAACTCTCTATTCATGAAAACTAACATTTTCGAAAAAACATGAACAGTTTCATCACTTTCAAATAAATATACATATACTGACTTAGTTCAGCCGCGCCTTTGGGCCCTTGCTTAATTACATTTATAAATTTGAGGTGTTTACATAAGAATATTTCAACAACAGCAAAAAAAAAGAAAACTTTTTGGTAACAATTTTTTTAATCAGCTTTGACGTGCAAATAATGTCAATTATAAAATTACACTGTATGTTATATGCACAAAATGAATGAAGTGTATAAATTTCCCTTGAACAGGTGGCTATGTATGTCCATGATCAGTGACAGAGACTTGTGTTGATAATTGCACTGGTGCGACACACCTGGTCAAAACACAGCCACATTGTGTTAGATGTGACGCAGACTCTGCTTCTCTAACGCAATGGCCAAGACATCACGTTTGCAATCCACGTTCTGCACTAATAACCTCCTTTTTTTTTTTTTTTTTTTTTTTTTGATAGAATTAATACCATAGAGCGCACCCGCGATTTTGATGTTTTCAGAGTAGTGGCTTGAAAAAGGTGAAAATTGCAAGTTAAATGTAATTAAATGGTTCAAAGAGATTGAACATGTTTTACCTACAATGCAAGATGGCTGAACCCTTCACTGAAAGACCTTACTGATCACGTGATCAACATTTTTAGCATAACTGTGAATGAGACAACAATTAACCTATTTTGTCTTAGAAACTGCCGTTTATATAAACAATAAAAATAAAATATCTAATGCAACCTCACTTACACTGGTCACGCCAGTGTTTAGAAAATATTTTAGGTTCAAGGTTGCCAATATTTCAGCTCAAAATATATGTAAACGTATGGATAACATGGTCTTGAAAAATCTGTAAGACTTCCTGAAAATGGAGGTATAATCAAAGGTTAACTTTTTTGAATGTATGCAGAAACACCTACTGTGCAAACGGGTTTTTCTGCACCTCAGTTTTCAGTTAACTGGTCATTAAGGCTTCGTTCACATGCAATGTCTATTTTCTAAATTCTATTTTCTATTCGCGCTATCTTATGATCACGGTCTGTGAACTGAATATCCCGCCGCGTAATTACTTGCAGCGCGAGCCAGTTACTTATAGTAACTTATAGTAACTGGCTCGCGCTGCCAGTAATTACGCAGCGGGATATTCAGGGCACAGACCGTGATCATAAGACATACCGCGAATAGAAAATAGAATTTAGAAAATAGACATTGCATGTGAATGAAGCCTAAGACAACAAGAGCACCATACTAGAAAGTTAATAGGCTGAAGTTAATAAACCAGATAGACAAAGGTAATTCAATCAACTCAAATAGATACTAGTTCAGTAAGGCTAGCAACTCTGAAAAATGCACTTTTTAAATGAAATGAGACCAAATCTCACAGTTGATATGTTTCTGCCATGAGGCTAACATACTAAAACAATTTCAAATCCATCATTTGCTACCTAGAGCTGGTTCGTAAATTAGTCCTTTGCCTAGTCCTTGATACCCCAACATTTCTTTTTGGTTTTGTTTTTATCGTATCATCTTTGTTATCGTCATCCTCGGCAGTGTCTCTAACCAGTCTGTACATATAACAACCAAACAGCCTCATTGGACCTTTCACTGTGTGAACTATTGTGTCCATGTCTACCTCAATTACATGATCACAGAACTGGAAATAAAAAGAAAGAATGTAAATTATGAATATTTAAAAATGGAGTTCAATCAAGCTTGCTTTAACATTGCGTGGGTTTCTTTATTCATGTTGAATATTATGATTCAGTGAGATTTTGCAAAAGTGTTTTTCAGTTGTTTAATTTCTAACTTTAATTCAAAACAAAATTATTTCAATTTATTATGATTTATGACTAGGGTTTAATATCTCTCATTCTTAATGTCTCACTCTTTGTACATAAGTAACAATATTTTTTTTATATTTTTAGATATTTTTTGCATCATTTTTTTTTTCAAAACAGGTCACCTCTTTCCAAGGTTCTTCCAGCAGGACTTCTTTCAGCAGTTTGCCAGTCTGGTTGTCATGGAAACAGACACGCCCACTCAAACCCTCATCATCTTGATGGACAGAGGTCACAATAAGTAGGTCAAGGTCATTTTCATAGTTGACTGACTGTATTGTCTGTGAAAATATACATCATTATATTCATTACAATTTGAATTTTTATGGTTATATTTGAAACTAATATAATATTCAACAAGCACAGAGTTGTGTTTATAGTAAATTTTGCTTTTGAATGTCAGGTAAGATGAATATCTTCAACTTTTCATTCCACAATCATATAAATTAAATAGTAAAGTAAAATGTAAAGTAAAATGTATTATTCTACAGATGTCCTAGTATCATTGATTGCAGCTTAATGCTGTGCAAATTTAAAATTTTTTTTAAATCCTATTCCATCTTTGAGGGAGAGTACAGGTGATGACTAATGACAGTTCAGGACCCTTCAGTGGTCGTGGTGCTGGGGGGGGGAGGGGGGGGCAGGTGTCAAAACTCCTCTCCTCTCACCTCCAATATACAGTCAGAGTACATATCCTCACTAATTCTCTTCTTCACCACTCTCCCTGAGGACGTAAGTGTCACTGAATCATCCTGGAATAGAATCCATTTACTATGTACTATTGTACCTTTATATGTTGGTTTGTAATGTGTAGTAAGTTGCTCGGTGTGACAATATAAGTGATGCTTTCTGCTAGTCCTGACAATCGGCATAATAATGTATATTGTCAATGAGTTAAGTGTCCAATGTGACTATGGTATATTATAAATGTTAGTTTTGTAATGAGTAAAAACTGATATGACTCATATATGCTTTTAAGCTGGTTTGTTTGTTTATATGTTAAAATATATGTTAATCAGTTTGTGTAATGTGCAACTTTATTCAGGTATTATATACTATTACTATTGTTATTTTGTGCAACGTATTCTGTCACTCCCCTCTTAAGTGCTGTTATTGTCCAATGAGTCTACTGTATGCTAGTTTATGTCTGTTGTATATATGTTGTAATATGTGTTTAGTGTGAAAAATGTATGTTTTGTTTTGTGATGTCAATAAAATTATTTTAAAAAAAGAATCTATTTAGATCAAGGTCAATGTATAAATGAGGACAATGTCAACATTAGGTCAAAGTCTGCAGCTCATGTGACATGAGAGCTATAAATTGGAATACAATTAGCAAAGTAAATGACAGTCACTGTTTGTAAATTAGGTAATCTTAATGTTAACAGTTAATCAATTTTTAAATTCTTTAACTGCACTTTCATAACAACAGCACACTGGAAATAAAGAACTGAGATCTACAGCACCTGGTTGTCAGTCTTATTATCCTTGGAATGGATGGTGTAACATCGTGTGACCCGGGATCTCTCTGCCATGTGACCTGGGGTGAGTTTTAACACCCTGCAATGTTTGAAATTAGGAGGTAGCATTCACATTAATAGGGTATATATACATGTACAACAAGTGTGTGTGTGTGTGTGTGTGTGTGTGTGTGTGTGGTTGGGTGTGCATATATCTGTGTGCGTGCATGCATGTTGGTGTGTATAATATTTGTGTACAACTGAGTGAATGTGTGTATGTATGTGTGTGTGTGTATGTGTTCATATGCTTGTATGAATTTGCATACACGCATGCGTGTACATATGCATTCTTGTGTATGTGTTTGAGTGAATGTGTGTGTATGTGGCTGCATATATATATATATATATATATATATATATATATATATATATATATATATATATATATATATATATGTATGTGGCATCCTTTATCTCACCTGAGCTGGTTAGGTCCTACATGGACAATTCTACCTGAGTCATCAGGATGGAAGAAAGCTTTGTCAGGTTCCACAGAGAGGATCTCCATGTCCAGGACCCCCTCCTCAGCCTGCAGAGACCAATAGAAAATTACTGAAGTTGTACTTTCATGGCCAAATAAAATGCCTGTGCATGTGTTTTTTTTTTTTATATAGTATTATTCAAAGATTGATATTTAGGTATTGAGGTATAGTGCTTATAACTCATTAATTATAACAATTTTGCAGAAATATTTTAGCAGATAAGTGGATTAACTGACTTTTATGGGAACTTCTTATATTGAAAACGAAATACCCAAACAAATATATAGCATTTATGTATGATAATGACTTGAACTTTCCAATGGGGAAAAAAATCTTTTAGAAACATTATTCTGTGTTTACCAGATAGAATAAAACTAAAGGGTAGCCTGATTTTCAATTTTGTTGCTAATGCTCAATAGAGATGTTCTAATCTAAAGAATTTGTGACTTAAAATTACAGTTAGTGTATCATCTATAAATTCACAACTCTCCCCATCGGATCATTACTAAACCATGCACCTGACTCTTGAATTTGCTAACATATCTGTATCTTAATTACCAAGTGCTGTTTGTCGAGGGAGTAGACGTGGAAGAAGCCTCTCTGTCCCTGGGGGCAGAGCATGTAATGCCAGGGTATTCCACCCAGCTGTAGGTTGTGCTCCGAACATCGCACGTGGAACAACACAGGGGGTGCCTCTGTGGAAATACACATCAATATTTTTAAATAAAGAAAATACTTTGTATCTACTCAGTTGTTTGTGTTTGCCTTACTAGTGGTTTTCTATACCATGTTTTTTTTTAATATATCTTTGTATGCTTGTTAATAACTTTGCTCTTGGTTTCACTACATATATATTTCATGAATATTATGCTAAAAATAATGTAATTCCAAAGTTTTAGAACAATAATTGTTTTTTTTTCTGCAAAACTGTTTAAAATGCCTCAAAAATTATGAATAAATATTTTTATAATTAGTCAAGGAAACAATGGATAACAAATTTGAAGTAAATTATAAAATCAAAAAAGCTCATCACCTTCAAATTTATTACAACCTCGATCTCTGAGACAACAGCATGAACTGTGTCAGAAAAATGCATAAGCATTTTCACAAAGAAATGCAAAGCTTCTGGTTACCTGTTTATAACTGCCCTCTAAGCTAAGTTACCCACTGTACAACTATAACACACATGTTCCTACCTTTCAGATTAACATTGCATGGTATACCATCTGGGTAAGACCCTGTCTTTCCTCTTCCACCAGGATGTGTGCTCTGAAGGCTGAGGTTAAATTGTTTTCCCTGGGGAGAGGACAATTATAGTTATACACCCCATTTCCATAGATTAGATCGACCTACTTTAGATCGACCTAACTCCCTGGGGGTTCACGCTAAATAGCTGTCAGCCGGGCGGACACGAAAGTTAATTATCCCTTTACAGCTTGTAGTAGGCGGGACGGACATTTAAGTCGGATTATCTGAAAGTAATCTAGTGAGATTCCCCACGGGGGTAGATCGATCTAAAATCTATGGGAATAGAGCCATAGAGAATGTAGTCCTGAGGTATACCATGACTGAAGGTCTGTTAATTTCAGACAATGACTGTATCTTGAACCAGTTTAGATCCAAAATGAGATTTTACTTGTGGTCATTTGTTTAATAATTAACAGGAAAATCATACACACTAAATCATGGAAATGTGTACATTTATTTACTTGTGCCATCTCTGTGGCAGATACATAATTATTTAATAAATTAAATGTGTAAACTGTTAAGATTTGTCGCACCAATTTTGCAAAATACCATTCTATATGAGTGTATCTGAATGTGTGTGTGTACAAGTGTGTGTGTGTGTATGTGTGTGTGTGAGAGAGAGAGGGGGGGTTAAGAGTATAATGAAAGAGGGAGTCTTAAGCAAGACAGGCCAACCCCAGTACTCTACCTCCAGCAGGACGGTTTCAAAGCTGTACAATCTGACTCCGCCACCCTGGTGCATGACAACTAGAAGTCCCTGAGATATCATAGCATCTGTGACATCATGACCAAACACCTAGAAAATAGTATAATTTGGACTGGAGTGGAGAATCTTTAAAATCTTGAATTTTCTATTCCAAAAATTCCAAAAGAGAAAAAGTAGAGAACAGAGCAGGATGGAATGAACAGATTTCTTAATTTTAACCACAAATAATTTACTGAAGCAAATATTATATATAATGAGAACAAATTGTATAAACAATTCACAAAGATATATCTATATCTAAGAACTTTCAAAGCATAGTAACCATTCATGTACTGCAACCATGTTTGGACAATTATTCAGACTGAGAAATACTGATCTCTTTTATCTTATAATTTTCAGCTACCCACCTGCTTACTGACCTCCATTACAGCCACAATGTTGAGAGGAAAGACTGTGAACACAGCCAGAGACATCAGGGGAGAGTGTGTGAACCCTGCCTGTCACAACAAACACAATCATGAGAATCAGACCTGTACATGGCACAAATCTTAATTTCCAGGTAATTGAACACTCTCCCATCCAGTCATCCAGGTCTGCCAAATCCATCATCATCATCATCATCATCATCCAAATTTATTTTATACTGCCAAAACCAAGATATAAATGACTTTATTCAGACCTGTTTTCAAGTTCTAAAGGTCTATTTTTTACCATCATGACTACAATTCAAGAATCTCTTTTTCCATAACAGAAATCACCCAACAGAAATGATTCAAATATAAGCAAAAGTGATTTGAATATTAATTTGTACAAACTTTTCATAAAATGTTACTGTATGTTATCAAGTAGCACTTACCTGACGGGCCACACTTGCTAATTTGCTGTGTGTTGAGCGCAGAACAATGGTATAAAGGTCGGACTCCCAGGACAGGTGTCTGCAAAATAAACCTGCTTTGAGACTTCTTTTTAAAACCATGTATGCATTCCAAGTGTATCTAATGCACAGAGCTGAGTGAGCGAGTAAAAATATCACCAGAGTGCAACCTAGTTACCTAATTTCATTCAATATCATAAGAATAAATAAATAAATAAATAATAGACTAATATAAACATTTATATATTCTTTCAATTAACTGATGAATAAATGAATAAATAAATATATATATAGATTAATCACTTGATAAAATTCAATCAGTAATTCAATAGTTCAATTTAATTCAATCAAATGATAAGCTGTCACTACCTAAACTTGTACTTGTTGGACAGGAAAACCTCCTGCAGTTTGTCTCCCGTCTCCAGGTCATGTCTTACCAACCAGTTGTCAGCAGTCAGCGCCAGGAAGGCAGGTTTGTAGCCCTTGTGTTCAAGACACAGCTCCTCCTGAGATATATGTTAATACATAGCACAAATCAATATGAATTCTTAGACAATTTTATACCTAAATAGGGAACATCTGTGCTTATGAGCATACAGGAAGGGAAAAAGGGTTTGTATGCTTTAAGATCAAGAAACAGCTGCTCTTAAGATCAAATCTACAAATTAATATGAAATATAATTTTAAGACAAATTTTATGCTTCAAAAGTGTATATGTGGGTGCATGCACAAGTGTGTGTGCGTGCGTGCATGCCTGTGTGCGTGCATGTGTGTGTGTGTGTGTGTGAAATTAATCAAAACTACTGCTTATTACTGATCTTGATAGAGTTGTAGAAATAGAGACTGAACTTGCTTACAAGAATTCATGTTGTCAGATATACTGGCGCCCCTGGGTCAATAATATTTTGTTACTTGACAAAATTTCTGCTTTGCGTCCACAGATTCCCCTGCAGATTCTGGTGCACTGAAAGTTTTAGCACAGAATGAACATCATCTTACCAAAGTGGACTGACATATGATGCCCTCTTCTATCTTCTGTGCTGAGGTACAGTGGGGCAGTTTATACAGCTGCATAGGAACACCATTCATTCCATAGCTGGAAGAGAGAAAAAATACTGACTGAAATATTTTACTGACAAAAAGCCAAATCAATGCAATGAAAACTTAACACATTTGTTGACAGAGGTTACTAGCATTAGATGATATCTTGAAAACCAGTGATTAATTGTCTATCCCTAAAATATTCCGTCCTCTGCTTGAACAGCTCATCCAAATGACAAGGCAAAACAATTGGTATCAATTAACATCAATACACTAATGATGAAAGATAACCTATTTACTGCACAGTTCAAACTATTCACTTACTTGGTGAAGCAAGTCCGATACTGGTCAAAGTACAGCTTCCCTCTGAAATATCAAATAAGGATTACAAAATTAGTAATATTTTTCATTAAAATTTCAGAATTGGAAACATGTACATGAATGTTGGTTATGTGTGTGTGTGTGTGTGTATGTGTGTGTGTGTGTGTGAGAGAGAGAGAGAGAGAGAGGGAGAGAGAGAGAGAGAGAGAGAGAGAGAGAGAGATCAAGCAACAGATGATCGATATACTTACCCCTCACACAGAATGGGATGCTTGGCTCTACGTTGCCAAATCTTCTTAAATTTAGCATCTGGCTAAAAAGTCAAAATTCACAGTAAATTAATGTCATGGTGAATCAATATTATACAAATGCAATTGCATGCAATACACAAGAAAAGAACAGAAAGTACTAAGTATATTGTTCGAATATGCTTTTTACACCAATTCTTTGTCAATAATTTCAGCTACAAACTGCTAAGATAAGTGCATCTTCTAATCTGAGATAATTCTTTCCACAGTTTTCGGTCTTTCCAATACATTATTTTGCCAGTGACCCCCATGTAGCTTACTCATCAGTACTAAGTCAAAATGTTCGGTGGGGTAAAGTTTAAGTTTACCTGCAAAACCAGCTCTCTCATAATATTGCAATTATGTCTGTAACTACACTTTACACCATATTCTCTTTGACTTAACAAATGAATCGTGTTCTTCTTCATTATTGCTCACATGATGCTGTTTTTATATACAATAGGATCAAACTCGAAGTCTTCATGGGCGCAGCCATGTTTGTTGTCTCATATTGCGGTTGTTGAGATTTCAGAATTTTGTTGTGCAATCGCTTCTAACACAATGTCTTTGTTCATTCTCTGTCTCGAAAAAGAATTTGACCTTTAATATCACGTTCAAAGTGAAAAAACAGCTACAGTTGAAAAAAAAATTAAAAAAAAAAAAAACAAAACATTTCACATGTTTGATTTAAATAAATCCAAACTATCCATAAACAATATAGCAAAATATGCACACGATGGTCTAGACTAGCAAATAAATTTTGAACAGCGGTTGCTATTCACAGTGCAATTTCATTGGCAGCGTTTTGCGGTTTTGCGGTTGCTTAAGGAAGTATAAATATTCAGTCTGTGAGGACATACCCACTTTTCTCTGTCTCTTTTGTTTTGTTTTATATTCAAATATTCTTCATTGGACTAGAAATACCTGCTTGAGAGAGAGGCGATAAGTTCCTTCTTGCAGAGAGGTCAGCGCCCAGAAAAGAACAAGAAATAAAACACTTAATGTCAGTACTATGATTAATTATTCATTTATGACTGACTTATGTGCTGAGGCTAATTTCTCTGAACTGCAATGACCTCAACCAGAAGTTCAAATTCATCGACTGACCCTAATCTCTACCAGCATATATATGTCCCCGTAAAACGTTATATTGTGGGAAAAATATCGTTTCAGCGAAAAAAAAAAAGCCTCAAAAGAACAAAACAAAAATGAGATAGAGTATGCAGTACAGGGGCGGATCCAGGAATATTTGAAGAGGGAGTTCCACAAAAGCAAAGCCCCCTCCCCTCTGCGTGGGATTCGGTGCCTGGTTAAGGGCCCCGAAAAAAAATGATATTTTAGAGGGCGAACGGTGCCATTTGGTACGGTTTAGAACTATATATGACTCTGCTAGTCAGAATTCAAATTGGTGTGTGTGTGTGTGTGTGTGTGTGTGTGTGTGTTTTTTCAGAAATCAAAGGGGGGGTATGCAGGACCCCCCTGACACCCACACCCCCTAAATCCACCACTGCAGTGGCTGACGCTGTTAAAGCCTAAGAAACTCAGGGTGTTTGACCCCTTAACAAAGATTCAGTTCAGTTCAGTTCACTGACCTCGCCATGACTTCTGGAGGTCGTTTGTGGTCAGCCTTCTAGTAATTACCGATGGTAATAAGCAGCTTTGGTCGCAGCTCTAGTCGCATAGCATATTGCGGGTTATTAACAAGCATTCAAAGTCCCATAATTGCCCATCGTCTTGAATTATTTCTGGTCCGATAATTCGCTCATGAAAAGGAAAACTTGTTTGATAGCCACGGTCAACTTGAGATAATTATAATCGACTTGTTGACCGAACAATTTGCTTTGGGTAGGGTTTCATAAGGAATAAAATCTCTGTCGACAGTTGAACACTGTTTTGATACTGAAGTATAAAATTCATTTTTAAAGGGAGAATTAAAATTATTTTACTACTCATAGATCTTTTACAAGGAAAGGATTCCAGTATTCTCTATTCCTAGTGTCCTGCCTGTTATTAGAGGAATATTATATAATAACTCTTCGTATGAGATCTATATTTCACGATAAAAACATTGTGAACAACTCATAGAAATAAAATATATTCTGTTGTACAAGAAAAACGGCAGTTATAGCTATTATTCTGATGTCTAAGCTTGTCTTCAGACCACTTGACCTCCATTGGTGACTATACTCTTTTATAATCTCTTAAGAGATTATAACAAAAAAAAAACTTTTAAGAAAAAAACCAAGGACTAACTTTGAATGTAAAAATGGATTCATTAACTATTGCTAAGTATGGAGAAATTGTTGTTTATTCCAGGGAAATTCATTTTTTTGGCCAAAACGAAGAGTTATTATTCCTTAAAGCCTGGGTGCTAGTAGACTCATCTTATAGAATTGAGTATAAAAGACCACCTTAAGTATAGCGTCTTTCTTTCTTTTCTTTCTTTGTATGTGTGTGTGTGTGTGTGTGTGTGTGTGTGTGTGCGTGTGTGTTTGTGTGTGTGTGTGGGTGCGTGAGTGTGTGTTTGTGTGTGTGTGTGTGTGTGCGTGCGTGTGTGTGTGTGCCCAGTTTGCAACCCTGAATCAGTCTCACAATTACGACATTTTTCATGATATATTAACATGATATACTGGTAGTAATCGGAATACAATAACGATATACACGTAGGCCTATCATTTTTTTTCTCCATTTTATTACTATACTACATAAATGACTTTACTGCACACATCGCGTGTTGTAATATTGCATATATAATAAGTGTAAGGCGCCAGAATGCCGTGTGCGTGCGACGTGATTGTTTAGTGTCAAGCACACTGATTCAATGTATCTGGCTGTACAGTGAACAAACTTGATCCTTGAGACGCCATCATTGCTAAAGAAATATGATAACAATGCAATGTTAAGTGTGTGATGTTTCTGAAATTGGCACAAGTATAAAATAGCATTTCCTTAATGTGAAGAAAAAACGGTGCTCTTTGAGTAAGGCGTCTTCAATTCGTTTCTGGAAATTAGAGATATTCATAATGATGGGGTTTCATGTGCAATACATACATAATAAAACGTCCTTTTAGATCAACTGTAACTGTTCTTGACTAGGTGGTAAAACTACCAACAAACTGTTGCTATTATATCACTAATTGCTTATGATTTATCTATATATTTCAAATAATATCTAGCATTTCTATTGCACATTGATTGCCCAATACAGCACGACAAGGGAAAACTAGCCTGTCCACCTGCGTACTGCGATGGCGATGGGGAAAAAGTAAAGTTGTAAATTATAGGCCACTCAAGATGAAAAGAAAATCAAAGGCCCACAAGAAAAAAAAAAGAACTCTGTTCTTGAAATTCCTAATTATGTAAAAGAGGAGGCGTAACGAGAATACATCGATTTATTTAAAACCGCAGACTGCTAAATCACATTCCATAGACTGCAGCGTTCACACTGTCTTAAAATGGAGTGTTCTAAACAGTGTGGAGACTAGTTTTAAATGACATGACGTACATTCCGTTAATTTTACATAAGTTCTTAAATTCAAGTGGACGTGAGTAATGGTTAATTTATCATAATTTGACCTCTGTTGCTTTGTTCTGCCTACCTTACATTTCCTTGTTTCCTTATTTTTAGGATTAACACACAAATGCTTCTTTGTATAAGTCTATATTTAAAGAGGTTGATTATCAGAAGCAGAGACAAAAAAATTTCGACGAGTAGTGAACAAACATTAAATTTAAAAACAGACTTTCTCTGATGGACGTAAAAAGTCACGGCAAAGTAATTAATTATCGAAACTGCAAACCTGGGTCTCAGAAGACCGCAATATTTACGGTGACATTAAAAACTTGTGTCCTAGCTCTTTTAATCCCTGGCGCGATTTAAATAGCATATTATAGTTTGAATGCGGTTTGTTCGACTAAATGGAGAGAGAGAGAGAGAGAGATCAATTTATCCAGAGGTTGCCTATGACTACGCTCACTTGGATCGATGTATCTAATCTCAGTGTGAACGCGCCCCAAGTGCACTCCGCGTGCCCGTGTACCGGTTCTCCTCACAACGCCGTTATCTCTCCTCTTATGACTGATTACCAGACGACTTACTGGCTATAAATCAAAATAATGGCTATGTAGAATGCTCCACATTTCATTATAAAAGGACCATCATATATAGCAATATGGAAGTCAGCGCTGGTATGCGTTGTTAAGTATATTTGCGCTCGATAAATAGAGCGACTGAAGGAAACTATGAGCATGAATATCAGTATAAATATGTAAATATAACAGCGTGACCTTAATGTGCTTGCCATAAGCTGCTCCTATATGAATTATAAAATTGTATCATGTCAGAAAAACTGCCTTATATAAAACGTTGTTATTTTATTTGTCAATTTTCCACCAAATCACATATTCAATTATAAATTAAACAAAAAATGATGAAAATTAATTGAAAATAATAAAAAAAACACATTGATATTTAGGACATTTAGAAATATTCCGCGTTATTGTTAACTCCAGTGACAGTTCATATAAAAGAACGAAAGAAAGAAAGAAAGAAGAGCTGCACATCCCCCCCCCTCTTAACCCAATTAATTTGTATCCCCGCCTTCGAATCCGTACTATAATGTCCTTAATCTAGTTCAAGTAGCTGCTGTCACAACAGTCGCTAGGGCGGAGTACACCGCCTGTTATATTGGATACGAAGTATCGATCGATCTAAACTTATCGTAGTCGCAATACCTTGTATGGGAGAAATCCATTTGCCGCGCCGCTAAGGTATTCTGGGTGGTCAAATGAAATATCTCTACGTCATTACTATGTGAAACAGCTGAATATTGGCGGCAACTTCTAAGCATGGTCGAAATGTTTAGGGAGATATAAGATGGAAATTATATATTTGTGATTTAGGCGATTATTACGCGAAAAAAATAATGTGTTAATCCTCATTTGGTATGTCTGCTACTCCTATATTACAAGAAATGCATTATTTTGTCAATATTGCTTACAGAATTATATAACCTGCAGACATTTTCTTATTATTTATTTTCCGCAGGTGCTCCCTTTGAGATAACCTGGCAGCATTCCAGGTAGTATTGACGTGCACGTAGTCCGCCTCTTTCTCTGCCGCTGTATTTACATACGTGTAAGTCGGTTCATTCATAGGCTAGCGGATTAGCCAGGCCAAATCAGCATTACGTCATAAACTCAAACTTTAATTTTAAACATTTTAAAATAATATCCAAGGTTATAAATTTTACCAGTTTTTATTTATTCTGTGTCATTTTCAAATTAATTTTCGCAAAAGATTTCCATTGTCAAAGACATCTGGTTGGAATTAAGCTCACTAGACACTTGCATTTGCGTCAGCGTGACGTCATGGATGTTCCGCCTGAATTCTTACTATCAGTGCGCATGACCTACTTCCTACTATGAATTGTGAAAAGGTGGACAGAGGCACGAAGTGGTCGGATTTCTCGCTTTATCTCTAACATTTCGAGTGGATTCTTACGCAAAGATAAGAGGAAGATACAGTGGGATCACAGGACTATAAATTTGAG